GGTATAAATTACAAAACATATTAAAATATTATTTGCTCCTACAAGTGCTCCTAGACGATAGCTACTCTAGACCAAATGGCAATATAATGCAATATTTAAAATGTATTAAATATAATAATACTTTTTAATTTACAGTTGTTATATAAACCAATATTATTTTTAAATAATTGAAACAATATTATCTGTCAACATTTCTATTTATATTAACTTGTCTATTATTAAATGTAAACTTTTAGCTTAAAGTTCATTAAATGATATAAAAACTATCATGATAACATCTTGATCTGATAATTATTTGGTGCGTTTAAAAGTTATTAAACCAAACATTATACAGTAGATTAATAGTGTATTGGATGCCGACTTATTTTTACGTGCTATATTATTATCTAAAATTGCGCTTGGCCACCGTCAATGGCGAATTGAGCGAGTTTATTAAGCAGTATAAAAATTATACTACTTATCAACGATACGCTATGCAAGTTGTAACTTATTTAATAAATAAATTATTGTTACATTTTTACAACATGATGCATTTTATGTTCGGGTTTTAAAATGAAATGAATGAACAATAACAGATTAAATGTAATTTTAATAAATTCCACACCAATATCTAATTAATTATAATTTATAGCAATAGGTTTACATATTTTGTTAGAAATCATCTTGGTTTATTAAGTAATAATTTATATAATATATAATAAGATTTGAAACAATGTATCTATCTCTAATATGTTTTTATAAATGAACATTTATTGTCTAAATAATATATTTTTTAAACAAGTACGTTTTATCGTGATAAACATTTATATTTATATTTAGTATGAAAATAAAACTTTAGTTATTATCTAGAATTTAAAATATATGTTGTAACATTTTCTGTGCCCATTTTAAATATATGTAAAACTAAAAACATTTATTAATTAAATAGATTATAATTTTATAAATTACAAAAAATAGTTTATTAACAAACTTTCTATAATAACTTTTTTTTATAAGAAATATATTATTATGATAACTATTTATTATTAATACGCTTAAAAATAATTGTTACAATTAGATTCTAATTATTAGAATATATCGATTATAACTACATGTAATAACTCCGAGTTTATGTGGTTATTAGTGGTTTATTATTAGTAAATGTTTATGTATACAATCAAGGTTGATATTAGATTAAAAGTTATCAAGGTAAATACATTATCTGGGTAAACAGGAAATTGTGTCCAACTCCCGGCGCTTGTTGCATTTTCCACATTATAATTCTGTGGGCATTTCGTATATATAAATACAATAATGCAGAAAGGGCAAATAGTAGTTCAATGCATTTTATTCATGGTAAACGTATAATTATAAGTATAATAATTAATTATATTTACCACCATTCGCCTTTAGGGGCTTGTTGTCCAAAAGAGAGTCACACATATCGTAATATTGTGGTGCTAGATAATTTAACGATAAATAAACTGTGTAAATCATATAACGCTCTAAAATAATTTAAAACATTGATAATAAATTAATAAATAATAAAACATGCAAGGAATTGAAAACCACCTCAATTAAAAAACAGAAATATAATACCTGGTGGTTTTTTTGTCAGAGTGGCACGATCAATTGGATCTTGTTGTTTATTAGTCTCAGCACCACTACCATAATCATTATCATCATCAAAATCATCAGGGTCAGCTAAACTTTTATAATGGTGGATGTCTTGATTGGCAGCTAAGCTAGTTGTAGCGCCTTTAGCAATATTATCAGGAGAGTTATAACGGGTTTCACCATCAATATAGACCTTATCGGCATTAACACTAGTGTCCGGATCCGAATTCCCTGTCCCGGTATTGTCCCCATCTCTCACACAAAAGCAACGGTGCCATAGGGTTGTCAACAAAAAGGCCAGATAGACCAGAACGATAATTTTCATTATGATCAAAAGTATATGATAATAATACAGCAAGTTCATATAATCTTGTTGAGTTTAGTTATAGCAATAGTATATAGGTTGGCATTGTTTGCTCTTTTATAGTGCCATTAAATGTATGTGATTTTTGTCTGTGTTTTATTTGTGCCGCACTTTTTATATGACAATTGAATTATAAAATATATGCTAAATTTTAAATGCATAAAAATATGTCGGTATGTTGTAAAATTAAATTATATAATAGAAAAGTACAGTATATTGAGCATGATCGGTGCCTGTCGATCTTGTTGGTTAATTTAATTATTTAGTTTAAAAGCATTTTTAATAAATAATTTTATTTTGGTGTTAATTGTATATTAATGTGAAATTTTAAATACAATTCTTTAAAAATATTAAATTTATGTTTAATATTAATTTTAATAATTTATATTATTTTTTAGTATAGATAGAAGAAAATAGAGAGAGAGAGAGAGAGAGAGAGAGAATATGTTTATTCAATAAACTTACCAAAATTAAATTTTCAAAATTCATTAGACAAATGATTTTTTATGATTTAATCAATACATAAATGTAGTATTTATTCAATACTGAGAATTGCGCTCAAAAATAAAATATATTTTTACGTAAATTCCTATTAAAACATAACAAATATTAAGGATTATTACTGTGACAACACAACTTATAGTATTATGCAATATCTTGTTACTGTATAGTTTATTTGATAAAATCAATAAATTTAAACTTTTAAAATTACAATTAACGTAAATTAATGTAAATTAACGTTATGATATATTTACAAGTTAATTAGTAATTAAAAATTACCAAATATATTACTAATATATACTTAACTTGTAAACATAATAAATTAAATAATATCATTTTGCAATAGTACAAATAATTAACATAAACATAATATTAATTATTTTATAGCAATAATTATTTCTACATTATTAAAAATATGAAAAATACTTGGTATTACTAATACATTATATCCACTTAATACATGTCTTATGTTATAATAAGTTTACATTACGGTAATTACTAAATTAATAATGGTAACATACATACATGTATAATGTATACTTTACAGTTTATCAATTAATGAATTATATATTATACGGTACATTTATAAAATTATTACCAAAACATTTCTACCAACTTATATATTATTACTACCATTACATTTAAACATCACAATTATAAACAATGTCAATTGCCAGTAATACTATTGACATGGACAAATTGCTACCCATGGAAGTTCGGGTAAAGGGGGCCGGCACTACACTATACAACATTGGCCTATCACTAAACACTCCGTACGGTACACATAGTGACCAGCAAAAAATTACAAACAACCCGATCGTGGTACTTTTAGTATTACTACACATGTTTATACGTGTTTGCATTGTAGTTATATGGCCTGGGCTGAGCCCCCGGGCCCACCTATGGCTTGGCGACTTTGGCTACTATACAGATGTTAAGCTACAGTCACAGCTCGTTGTATTGCTGCTCATAGCCATACCCATCTTATCCCAGATGGTCATTTATTACAACTATAAACATGATGAAACATGTCTGGATTTAACATTATTTCACATGCTTTCTGGTTATATAACACTCAGAAGTGCCGGTATTTCCGACCAAAAACATATCGGTAAATTAATCAAGGTAACAAAAATTTGTTTTAAAATTACCAACATTGTGCTAAAGTGTATGCCAGTAATTATCATCATGATCACATTGTCACCATTCGCGGTAAACTTGCCCATCATGGATGTGTTATTAATCGCAGTGCCCAACGCACTGATATGGGCCCTGACGTGCCAATACATGTATAGAATAATTATTTGGCAATTTGTTTATTATTATATAATTACCTATCATTTGCGGCAACAAATACGAGCGATAAGTATTGCATTGACCACCATGGTTAAATTGCAAAAATCGCAGCCTGTTCATTTAGCACGACTATTAAATGTGCTAAACTCACTATTTGCCAAAATCATAACTTATGATAATAATTATTGGTCCAAATTTTTAGCTATTATCTGGATGACTTTTAGCATAATTATAGCGTTGGTACTTTACCTGGCAGTGTTTTCCAACGCGGACATTATTTTTAAGATGTTTACATTGCTTTTTGCTGTATGTTATTCAATGATCATGATATTTCTCATACATATCACGGCTGATATTTATGCTGGTGCTAATAAATTGTATGCCATATTAAATTCCTTGTCACTATCAGTAACTAGACAGTTTAAATTAAGGAACTTACAAATTAAGGTGATTTATTATGAATTAAAAATAAACCTAAAATAAATAAATTAACATAATTATAAAATACTTTACAGTTATTAATTATGATCGAGAGAATTGCGGTCAGAAATATAGGTTTTCATTGTTGGACACTATTTGTCATTAACTATATGCGCGGATTTGAGGTATTTCAAAATTAATTAGTTAGTTCTTACATGATAAAATTATATGTAATTATTTATAACAGATTATATCATTAATTGGAGTGTTATTTCTAAAGATAATTGGTTTATCAACGTAATCATTTATTTTTAATTTTGCAATAAATTAATTTTGCAAAAAATATAAATTACCGGTAATATTAAATGTAACTTTACATACAAGTGCTTTCTGCCACATCTGATTCCCAGTAAACTCATTTTGTTAATTGAAGTAATTAATTAATTAATATTTTTATGAATCAATTACAGTTTTTTTATTAATGTTATAAGATTTCATTGTACAGTAGAAGAATTTGAATTAATTACAGTTTAAATATTAATGATAAAATTACAATTATAATCCTGGTTTTATTTTTATTATTTAAATAAAAGGCATAATAAAAACATGAAATTAATTTTAAACATTTAAAAAATATTTATAATTATCATTGTAGTGTAAAATATGTTTGAATATTAAATGCACACACATGTACAATATTTTAATTATAGATATAAAAACAATTATTTTAATTTATAGATACAATAATTTTTAAAGTTACAATCAAATAAAAATTTTAAAATATTTTTAATTATATATAATTAAATAATTAAAACAAAAAATTCTATTTATTGGTCACGTGGGGTCCGGTGGGTGACCCATCAATGGCCACCGAAAATTGATCATAATAAAGTTGCTTATGATTGCGATAGTGGTCGGCGCTATCGTAATAACTCGCATACCGGTCACCAAACGGTTTAGCCTCACCACTGGACTCTACCTTATCGTAATAATCATCTTGAACAGCGCACGCGCAGCACCAGTTACCACAGGAAAGTTTCCGGAAACTATCCGGTGACTCGTGTCGCCACTTATCCAACGCTATGAGCAAAATACATGAGGTAATAATGGCGGCCCCAACCATGGATAACCACTCGATGGTTTTGTCCAGTATAACAGCTTCCCATATAAATGTCATGACCACTGTTAGCGTACGGGTGACCGACACGGGCCCAGCGGACTCGTAGCACAAGGCTTTAGTGACAAAGTACTGGTCGCCGATACCGCACAGGCCTACCGCTAGTAATAGTGACCACGTATACCACCCGACGGGTAGGGTTAGCACATCCATCCCAAGTACGATGGCCAGGCATACCAGAGTGACAAACATGCCGTACCAGGTGACAATCACGGGCACGGGGGTAGCTTTTAGTTTGCGCAGTGTGATCATGCTGAACGCGCCGGACACGCTGCTGACAACGGCCAGGGCTGTGCCCAGTAGTCGCTGGTCGTACACCTGACTGGTGGCGGTGCCGAACAAAAACTCGGGTTGGGCTATGACCACTACGCCCACTAGGGTGACCAACCCGGCGATTCCTTGTAGGCAATTGATACGCTCCCGGAGCATGAAATAGGCGAATATGGCCACAAATACGGGCGACGCGAACTGTATGGTAGAGGCGTCCGCCAGTGGCATCAGCCGATAGGCCACAAACACCGTGGTCAGTGTGATTGTGCCCGACACGCAGCGTAATACGAGCGTGATGGTTTGGCCATCTGTCGGTATTATACGGTACTGTTTGACGAGTACGACAAAACCGAATACTACGAATTGAAACAGCGCCCTAGGTGAATAAAATATATTTATGATTAATAGTTAGCAATTGTTACTATATTAATTAAAATGTATTCTTAGCCTTCCCAACAATATTTATTTAAAATATTTTATCATAATTATTTCATTAATAATTTTTTAAATTACAGTTTTATAACGTTGATATTAAATACTTATAAATTATCAATAATTTTTACTAATTATATACATTGTATAAGTTTTACTGATCTAGATAAAATTGGATAAAACTAAATAAGTATTAGAGTGATGCTTACGTAATCAACAGATTGTTATATTCTCAAATAATAAGTTATATTAAATTTTTTAAATTATTAAAATTATGTTTATTAACAATTTTAGTAAAATTCTGTTAAATTAAATATTTATCGAACATTATTATTGTCAATAAATATTTATGTAATATAAATAATGCAAATATAATTATACTCAGACTTCGAACATAATAAATATGAAAAATATTAATTATAAATGCTTTAATGTCTTACTATTGTTTTTCATATACTTAAAGTTACATAGATTTCTGTTTATTAATCACTGTATAATGATAAAGCTCATTTTTCAATTGTGTAATTGAACATACTCAATTGTCGATTAAATTGTAAACCTTGAATTAAATCAAATTAATTTGTACTAAATACATAATTATTGCTTAATAATTATTTAACCAATAATTTGTTTTATAATTAAAATTAAAAAATAAATAAATAATCATTTCAAGCAATTCAAAATATACATAAATAATTAACAATTAAACTAATAAAGCCAACAATTAACTAACCTTATACCCAGAATTTCGAGCGAGTGCAATTCTGGCATCAAATTGACCACAGCTGAGCCCAGCGAATAGCACAGCACAGACATGAAGGCCATCATAATGCCCAGCGCCGGTATGCGACGGGTACGGTGACCAACGGTCTTTTTCTCTTCACAATTGTTACCATCATCAATAGTATTGGGCACAATCGCTGTTCCGTCGGCCGATGAGTAGTGTGTCGATGTGCTCTGAGAATTAGTATCACTTGAGTCCGATGTGGTCACCCTATCGCGCCCGGTGTTGTCCGGTTCCGTCCCGGTGTCCGGAATCGGTATATAATGATTACTATTGTTGTTGTTATGCATACTATTATTGGATGACTTGAACTTCGGATGTAATGGCGATAATAAATGCTGGGACTCATCGTCCGTGTCGTTTGTGAACGTCATTATTATTTAATTAATTATTAGTTATATTATTATTAATTTTATAAGTAATGAATAGTTATATT